GTCTTTTAACGAACACTCCTAGACGCGTGCACATCACTCCTGTCCTTTACTCTCTTCATTGGCTTCCTGTCCATTTTAGAATCGATTTTAAGATTTTAACATTCGTTTTTAAAGCTCTTAACGGACTTGCTCCACCCTATTTATCCGACCTTCTCACGCCACAAGTCAGAAACAGAACCCTAAGGTTGTCAAACCAGGGTCTGTTGGAGGTCCCAAGGTCCAATTACAAACATTGGGGTGACAGGGCTTTCTCTGTGGCCGCACCCAGACTGTGGAACAAGCTCCCCCTCGACATGCGCACCATCACTGACCTAGGTCTTTTTAAATCAAAACTTAAAACCTTTCTTTTTAAGACGGATTTTAACACTTAAGATTGTTATGACATTGTTATTGTTATTGTTATTGTTTTTTATTGCTGTCCTTTACTGGTGTTCTTTTGCTGTTTTATTTTATTGTAAAGCACTTTGGTCACCCTCTGGGCTGTTTTAAAGGGCTATACAAATAAACTTTATTATTATTCATGTCTCCACAAACAAGAATGTAGTTGGTATCCACAGAAAGGTCAATAATGACTTGTGTCAGATCATCAAAGATACCAGTATTGGAGTATCTGCTTATGTACGGTGGGACATATGCTGCCAGAATGACCAAGTCTTTCTCATAGTTCAACATATTTCTGTTAATTTGTACACACAGACACACAGACAGACACACAGACAGACACACACACACACACAAGCATCACTATGAACTGCTCTCTGCACACACTTATATCCAATAGCATTCTTCACTGACTCCCGCTGATCTCCAGTTTGGTAAATTATGTCAATTCTTGAAGAACACTTGAAAGCCCATGTGATTTAATTTTCCAGTCAAATCCGGTATATCCATTTTATCTGTTTTTGTCTCACAGAAGCATAAGACTTCATATTTCTTACACATTTCAATGAAGTCAAGGACTTCTATTTTACTTCTTAAGCCACATACATTAAGGGTGATAATCCGCAGGTCATCACAGTGGCTTTTTTGTTCTCCAGATTTGTCCTATAAGTCAATTCCAAAGTTTTTGTAGTCCACATTATCATACCCTATCAGAAAGAGGTCATCCGAATTGTTAATTGTGATGTATTTACCATGTTTCTTACTGATAACTTTGCCGTCTCTGACGAATGTGCATATCTGAACAGCTTGTATCTCATATTTGTGAGGTCTTCACAGATGAAAACCTTCTTGTACGTGTCATTTTCCTTCAGCTTTATCATTTTCTCCATCAGATTAGCTTTCTTTCTTCTACTCACAAATCTAACAATCACAGGACGCATCTTACCCTGCTTCTTTACACCACCCAGCCGGTGCGCCATAGAGATATCCTCCTCTTTCATGTCAGAGCCAGGAGCTGCAGTGAGGCTGCACACTTTTTTTTATAAAGATATTTTTGGGGGCTTTTTAGCCTTTAATGTATAGGACAAACAAGCGTGAAGGGGGGAGAGAGAGAGGGAGTGACATGCAGCAAAGGGCCACAGGCTGGAGTCGAACCGGGGCCGCTGCGGCAACAGCCTTATACATGGGGCGCCTGCTCTACCACTAAGCCACCGGCGCCCGAGGCTGCACACTTTTATCTGCTGATCCTCGCTCTCCTCACCACTCTGCTATGGGGTGCTGTTTGTAAAGTGTCTCACGCTGAAAATAACATCAACATTTTGCTATATTTAGCTTCAAACAATGTTTAAAAAAGTTTTGTGAATTTTTTAACGTCACCTTTTACCACATTTACAGCAATATTTGTTAACTTAGAAATATATTAAATAGTTAAATCTAAATATTAAATGTGGCACCTAAATGTTAAATGTTAAATCTAAATATTAAATCTAAATCTAAATATTAAATCTAAATATTAAATCTAAATCTAAATGCTAAATATAAATATAAATGTTAAATCTAAATATTAAATCTAAATCTAAATCTTAAATCTAAATGCTAAATCTAAATCTAAATGTTAAATGTTAAATCTAAATGTTCTGGGTGAAACTAAATATTTAGCTAATATGCAAATTCACACTGCCAGTCACCAGAAGTACCAAAATAAAAGCTTGAGATGGTCAGACTGTGTTTATAGAATCAAATAACGAATTAAAACCAACTTATCGGGGGAAATGAACACTTGAACATACATTAGTGTGATAATAACTACCTAAAATAACAAGAAACATGTTTGGAGAAATTTTATTTGACATGTACTTTGACTTGTTAGTGTATTTAATATTTAGATTTAACATTTATATTTATATTTAGCATTTAGATTTAACATTTATATTTATATTTAATATTTAGATTTAACATTTAGGTGCCGCATTTAATATTTAGATTTAGATTTAGATTTAGCATATAGATTTAACATTCAGATTTAGATTTAATATTTAGATTTAACATTTAACATTTAGGTGCCACATTTAATATTTAGATTTAACTATTTAATATATTTCTAAGTTAACAAATATTGCTGTAAATGTGGTAAAAGGTGAGGTTAAAAAATTCACAACACTTTTTTAAACATTGTTTGAAGCTAAATGTGGCAAAATGTTTATGTTATTTTCAGAGTGAGCCACTTTACAAACGGCACCCCATACTCTGCTCCTCCATCCCATTGATTCTGATGTTCTCCTTGCGGCTGTATTGTTCCAGCTCGTCCTCCTTGTATTTACATTCCAGGATGTTGTTGTTGAATTTCGTCTTATCCACAGATAAATCCAGTCGTTTCTGCACAGCCTTAACAATAGCAGGCACCTCTGCCTTAATGGTAATCAGTACTATTTTGGTCAAGTCCTCAGTACCGAAGTTGGCTAAAATTGACCCAGTTTTGGCCTCAACCGCTGCCATTATGTCCGCGTGCATGCTGTCTTCTTCACCCTCACCTCTCATGCTCTTTATGATAACTTCATCCTCCTCGCTCATCTCATAGCGGTTAGATAGAAAAACTCCAGTAGAAGCTTTACTCGGTTTCTTACGCTGCGAGGGAGCTGCTAGAGCCTCGGCATAATTCTTTTCCATGTTGGATTGAGCGCGGTCACCTTTCTTGGTTTGTAGAGTGGTAGCTTTACTTATCGCTCCCGGGCCTGACATCCTCCAGGCGTCGCTTTGTTGTTAGGCCTACGCCACCTATTGAGGCCCTTGTCAGTAGTGTTTTCAAAAAACAGTATGTTTTCACCTTCAGAGGTCTCCCAAAGATGATTTTTTAATAGTAGAAGGAGCACTTTACATTTAACATTAATTTGCTGTAAGGTAATCGCCTGTACACCGGCAAAACCCCCCACAATTTACAAGTTTTACTTCTTTGCAGTCCATTCAGTCATTCTAGTCGTTTACCTTCACATCAATCCTCCTTGTACCTATGTTCAAAACTGACCTTAACTAGCAACCTGAAGTGCCATTTGCTATATACGCCCTTGAAAAAGGCAAAGCCATCTCTGTCATGGTTTTGTTTTTTGAAAAATAGTCAGTAACATCTAACAAAATTATAGGCTTATTCCAAATAAAATATAATAAACTATTAAAATAGTTACATTTATAATTTCTTTTTTCATTTTCTTTGGTATTTTTTTGTGATATAGCCTACAGGTATGCAATGGTGATTGCTGGGTAAGCTGTTTTTCAGTGTTATCCAATATCGAGTCTTTGATCATGTGACAAGACGCACGATAGCGTACACTATCGGGCCCGTCATAATAGCGTACACTAAGGTCTGTCACTGCCACTGTGTGAAGGTATTACCTGTTTGACACAGTGTTTTGAGAAGTGTCATTTTCGTTCTTTAGATGCGCCAAAGCAACTGAGAAAAAATCCAGGCTCCATATAGGCTAGAATAGTAATCAGTTGCAGATGCTTCCGATTACCAATTTGAAACACGTCATATTTAAAATGTGATTTCCTCATGTGGACCGTATTCAGTGGTAGGGTGCTGCAGCTGTAGGACAGCAGATGGCACCGCTGCGCCGTCCTGTGGATCCCACTTGGCACAGAGAGGCGTCCACGTTGTTCCCACTGTCTGCTCTCGCTCGAGTCCCCCTCCCTCCTCCTCAGTCTGTCTCTCCCGGCTTACAGTATACACCTATCTATATCCCACAAGCATCAGCAGTCTCTCCATCAGTCTCCACGATACTGAGCGCTACTACGGCGCAAAATATGGCATCTCAGCGCCCCGAAGAACCGTTCTCCGCCTCTGCACACATCTGCGTCTTTCTGCTGACCACCTCGGCCTGGATGGCATTGCCGGGACCGGTGCGCTGTGGCAGCGGGGCTTTAATAAACCGGAACGGCGGGGAGGACCGTACGTTTGACATAGGCGGTGGAGACGGAGGCTCCCCGCCGGGCTTACCGATGGTCAGTGACGAGGAAACCGTCAGCGCGGAGAGCTCACCCCGCTTTAGGAGAGCGCTGTCCCGGGAAAAGCAAATGTCCCTGCATAGCAGCTCGTTCGTGCTCAAAGGGGATGCGACCCACAACCAGGCGATGGTCCACTGGACAGGAGAGAACAGCAGCGTGAGTAGCCTATCCCCTTCTCGTCCCGTCCTGTCACGATCCACTGCTTCATGCACCACCGACATCATACCTCTCTTTGTAACCTTCCACTATCCTTGGCTCAAGCTACAGCGCACATCACCACATCACGGGAAACAAGTTATTGTTCTCGCAGGCGGCTGCCGCTGCAGACGCACACTGCGCGGCTCTCATAGAGAAGGAGGCACGGTGTGTTTTTTTACGCATTCGAGTGGTCCAGCTGGACGCGCGGTGAATACTGTCAGGCTTTGAGCTTTGTTGAAAGATAAGGAGTTAAAACATTTTCATACCAGGGACCCCACAAACAGTCTAGAACACTCTGCCCACACTTCCATTACATCACATCGTGGCCCAGGGTCACCACAGTCTTGTTATTGTCTGTTTACACTGTGCAGCACAGACTGAAACTTATAACCATCTATGTCCTTTGTTTCCCTTCCCATTTTATTTGTTATTATTTTTATAATATTCAGTTAGTGACTTGGTGAAATGAACCATTTCATAATGATAACCACTCGTGGATATGATAACATTAAGAAGTCCAAGGTATTAGTGCACAGAGCCAGTTTGGAGACAAGGAGCGTGCACTAACCTGACAGCTCAGTGCTCCTTCAGTCACACGAAGCCATGACTTAAATATTGATAGAGCTTTCCGTCCATGAATTTTGCAATGCCTTGTATATTTGTGTCTTGAAACACGATGGATATAGTAGCTTTGAACCCTTTACTGTCAGTGCTATACTATGCTCTTATGTTAATAACTGTCAGTGGCACCAAAGTAGATTTCAGACAGTTGTACACTATTAGAAAAAATAAGTCCTACTGGGATTGAAAAGTGATGGCAGCAGAGACAAAAATAGCACCTTACTGATAGGCTATTCCTCAGACACTGAATTAAGCACGTAAAGGGACATGTTCGGGATATTTAAGTGATTATGTTGAAGTAACACTATGAAGTATGATAGGACCATTGTATGAATATTTTAGTGATTTCTCCCCAGGGCCAGGTCAAGTAAGAGCAGCTACACCACGTAAACAAGAGCAGTCATTGTGATGGATATTGACAGACGCCTGGGGGATTTCAGTGGTGGTGTCTGGTGGGGACATCACTTGCAATCAGAGCCTTTTTGTCAGTGTAACACATTGCTGTTTTACTGGCAGTGACTCCACGAAAAATGGCTCTGCTAAAAAAAAAAACCCAAAACATGCCAGAAAGAAATGACAAGAAAGAGAAAACATTGTGACTGTGAAACAGGCAACAGACCTATTTTGCTGGAGTTTCATGAGAAATTGGTACATAAAAAGAATGATGACATTTGCAGGTTGCTTTTGATCCATTACATTGGATTATCAACAGATGTAAGTGAGATTGAATTTAAAGCTGTCCTGGGTACGTTGGTGGGTCCAAATGGCAGCAAGAACATGACAAAGTTGAATTATTCTTAAACAACTGTTCAGGGTTTGCTGGCTAATTGTCAAGTTTAAACTCTGCAGCTTCCAGTTGTTTCCCACTGACATCTGAGGGCTGGGTTTGCTATGAATAGCTCACAAACATTAATATATGATGATTTATTTGTCTGTCCCTTAAAAACATTTAGTTTTTAGTCATTGAGCTGCACTGCAAACCCCATTCCAACCATGACACAAACTTTTACTTGACACGTAAACTCATCCCATGTGAGCTTGACATATTTTTTTTATGTTTAGTCAACAATTTTTGAGTTTTGAATTCATTTTACTAAAATTTATAAAGCTGATTTGCCTAATTAGTTTAGAATAGAATAGAATAGAATAGACTTTATTGTCACTGTGTCACAAATTGGCTCAGTGAATGTCACAAGAAGGGAGTCCACACAAAAGATTTACTAAAAACAAGCCAAATTTATTAAACTAAAGTTAACTTAAATAATCAATTGAGTGTGTGGGTCAGCAAAGTCAGTTATGAAAGCCATGTATGGGTGTTTGTCAGATGTGTTGTGGAGGTGTTGCCGGTACAAACCAAAACCAATAATGGCCAGTGGATGTCAGGTGAAGGAAGGGAGAGACCAAGTGAACAGAGGAGGCAGCTTTTATAGCCTGGAAGCCCAGGTGAGCCTAATCAAGGCAACGACCCTCCCATGTCAGCCAACTTCCTGATGAGGCTGGCTGGAACATTGTCCAAGACAGTGGGAGGGGCGTCACACCCTCCCTTTTAAGATCAAGGTTCCACCTTGACATCTGGAACACAAAACAAAGTTCGGAACAATTTGACATGAGAAATAACATTTCCACTTTTGACTTGTAGTCTACCAAGTGTCCACCTTTACACTGGACTAGCCATCATATAAACTTACTTCCATGTGAACAGTGACCTAAATCTCCACCCACCACCAATCCTACCAGATCCAATCCCTCACCCAGCAACCTTGGATCCAGGGGAGCAATTTAAGAATGAGAAATTTACCGGTATCAGAAGCTAGTGCATGACCACAGAACTAACGACTAGTTACAAAGACTTAAATAGAAAATTTGTAGGATTTGATTTGAAACAGTACCCACCTCACAATGCAAATTCGTATTTTGCAGGAATTCAGGAAAGTGGGTAAAGAGCAGTGAGGTAGAGTCAGCAGGAGATTGTTTAACTGAGAACTGGTGGGCGCAGTCTCTGATCACTCTCCCTGGAATTCCATCTGGCCCCTCAGCCTTCTTGACATTCACAGAGCTGAAGATCCTTCTGACCTCGTGTGTCTGTAGGGTTGGAGGGGGGTCAGCAGCATTCAGTGGGCGCGTCGCTTTGTTATCACTGTCTACCATTTCAGTGTGTGCAAAGAAGTTATTAAGCTACTCTGCAAGGTGGGTGTTATTGTCTGGAGGTGGTTGCTGGTTTCCCCTGTAGTTTGTGATGTTCTGGATGCCTTGCCACATACGTGATGGATCCCTGTTGGAAAAGTGATCTTTGCCTGCTTGATGCCCCTCTTAATTTGTGTCTGGCTGTGTTGTACTGCTCTCTGTCCCCAGATCTGAACGCTGCATTTCGCTCTCTCAGCAGAGCCTGTACCTCCAAGGTTTCCTGTTTGGGAAAACGGATGCATTTGTTGGTGGTTATGTTTTCAATGCAGGTTCTGATGTAACAGAGAACAGTGGTGGGAGTGTGTTTAAGGCCATAAGCTGAAGAAAACTGTTCTTAAATGTGTTGTAAATCAGTCATGTTACCCATTATGCAGTGATGTTTATGTATTTCACAATACACAGTTCAATGAAATAAAAAAAGAATGTTTTAAAATGTGTCTTAAATGTTTTAACGTTGATATGACACAGAATTGTATACACTAACAAAAAATATGTTAAACTGACATAATATTTCTGTCACACAAGTGTCATGTGACACATTTATTTTGTGTCTGGTGTACTCAAAACTCTATGTTACCGTATGGTACTAAACTAAAAGTTTTGAGTGCAAGCTGTTTCCAAAAAATAAAAAAAAAAAAAAAAAAAAAGATAATCTTAAGTTGAGTGAGCGAATGTTTACAGTTTACAGTGTGTTAACTTTGTATTCATCTCTTGGAAAGTGGGAGCTAGCAAGCTTGGTTGAAGTGGAAGCTAGTTAGCATAGCTTCCTAACATTGGTACTGATTCTCAGTAGATGTCACTTTTTGGTCATGTTACTGTAGATCAGCACCATGCAAAATCATTCATAGATTCTGCACACTAATTGCTGTGTTTGTACCATGGATGTATTAAGAGACCTGGACAGCGGTCGCGGCAGGGCTCTGTTCATTCCTATGAAAGTTGCTCAGTGGTGCATGAATCATTCTGTGTCTGCAGTATAAAATTATATGGATGATCATCACTGCACACTAGAGACTTAAGTCTGCTAAGCAGGCCTGGAATTTTGTCATTTTAGGGGCAAGGCCACTTGGCCTTTCGTGTTGTCATTTTTTTGAGGGCACAAAGGCCAAAAGCCAGGGCAGCGAGGTCATAAAATAAAACAGTGATTTTAAGTCCACGTCCATAATGAATTTAATTTAAGGACTAAGGATGTATAACTATCTGTGAAATGAATAAATAAATCAAGCTCAAGTAATAATAATGAGTATAATAAATAAGAATGTGATTTATTTAATAGTAGTAATAAACCCAATGTGTTTTAAATATAGAACAACCAGATTTATGTATTTATAAGCAAACAATATTAAATATTAGGCCTAAATATTTTTTGAGTGTACATGATAAACTGATTCACTGAACAACAAATTAAGACAGGAGCATACAGAAGCAGCAGGTGACAACAAAAGCGCTATGGCTAGACTCGAAAAGAACATGAAAGAACTTCAAGACAGAACAACATTTCTGGAGCAAAGAGCAGTGCACATGGAAGAAAGAATTGGAAATACAGAAGACAGGACGACGCGGCTTGAGCGCTCTGCCGCCTTCCTACTCCAGCAGACCGCCAAACTGTCTGAGAAATGCGAAGACTTGGAGTCACGAATGAGACGCAACAATATACGGATACATGGTATCCCAGAAGGAGCAGAGAAGAACAACACCATAGGCTTCATAAAGGGGCTTATTAAGTCCAAAATCCAAAGCACAGGCAACATGGAAATCCGCATAGAGAGGGCACACCGCTCACTGGTGGCTAAACCTAAAGACAGCGCAGCCCCTCTGCAAACCATCATCGTGCTCTTTGTGGACTACAAAGTGAAGGAAAACGTGGTAAGGCAAGCCTGGAAACAGAAGACGAGATATGAAGGACGAACCATCTACTTAATCAAGACTATACAATGGAGGTTCAAAAGAAGAGGAAACAGGTGAGGGACATTATCAAAAAGCTTAAGGAAAAAAATGTGAAGGCACAGTCCCCCTACCCAGCCCAGCTGAAAGTCTTTTTGGACTCAGGGATGAAAACATTTGCTACACTAACGGAAGCAGCACCTATGTTAAAGGACATGGGGATTAACATGGAGGAGGACAGGATGGAGAGGCTGCAGAGAGGGACGATG